CTGCTTTCGTCCAGGGCTGCCGCCCCTTGAGCACCCGGATCCGTTAATTCCCCTGTGGGGTTCGCTTGGCCACCAGTGGGGTCCGCTTGGGGTCCTTCCTCAAGTGCTAACGTCTGTACTGCCCTCACCAGGTGAGGGTCTGTCGATGGTGTTCCCCCGGTAGCCTCGTCGTCGACAATACCTTTACTCCTGAGCTTCATGTACTTATCACACGACATATTCTCGCTAAACCTCGCAACCTAACCCAACCTGGGGAAAACAGGCAAAGTTCTGATCCCGCCAAACGATTGCGGTGAAATTTTAACACAACCCCGATATCAACAACTAATCACTCGCTCAATAATCTCTAACCTTTTATGTTAAACCTCTTGAACATCTAGACTGGAACTACTCTTCATTCACGTCGGTCACCGCGTTCCACAGCCCCAGTGAAAACCATAAATTACCGAAGCTTGTTGACAGACGATGACAGCTGTCGGCGTCAGAGTCTGCTGACTACGCTACACCAATGACTGAATTCTTTTGTCCTATTATCCCCTACTCTCATTCGTCAAATTTATATGCGGACAGATGGAATTACGCAACCGGCATCGACTACTAATCATCACTTGTGAAACAAAACAATGTATACGATGTTGAACCAACTATATATGCGCACTTATAAACCACATAAAAATGTTACGTTAATTATTAAATGATCGGACTACTAGAATAAACTTGAAAAAAGGTAATTAATTTCCACCATATTTATTAGACACTCGAAGTGGACTGGTAACGCAAATATAAAAAGAATTATAGGACGACTTTCTTGTCTGTAAATGCAAATCCAATATAAATCTTAGAAAAATTGATAATTCCCGAATTCCTTAACAAAATATACTGAAATTATACAAGTAATATTTACGCGAAAGGGACTACACTGAATTTACTGTAATTAATTTAGTTTCACCTCGGTTTTTATTTATCGAAAATAAGCAGTCTAGTTTACCAGCGAACAATAAATACAACACTTTACGTTATTGAATTTCCTAAATTTTTCTTGAAAATCTTAGGCGCACTAGGAATGAATGACGTTATCGTTAATTTAACACTGGCGTGATGTTTATATCTCCAACAATTATTTTTAATTCCGTAACGCCCGACACTAACAACGGCGCTCGGACCTAATTATAAGTATTATTAGTTACCAAATTAATGGTAAATTAATTATTTACGTTACTGTATGAACTTGATGTTTATATAGCATACACTTGTTCACCGCCGGTCGCGTTGTAGAATACCGAGAAATATACACTGATAGCCGCGACGCTCACAGCTACAGAGTCGCGCTGAACCTTAAGTAAAAATTAGTAAATAATTTCCCAAAATTATAATTTAAATACTGGCGCGTAGTTGACTTGTTACTTTAACGGATTATAACACTCGCTAACCACTTGGACACGTTGGTAAGTATACAAAAATTAAAAGCGCGCTCACTGTCACGAAGCCGAATCCTCAGAAAGTAGTCTCCGCACTAATTCTTAATTAATCAAGAATTTCTTTTCTCAAAACTATAAATTAAATACCGACGTGTAGTTCGCTTATCACTTGAACTGAATATACTACTCGCGAGACACTTAGACACTTGGTTGAGCGCAAACAATTACTGGGCGCTGTCACACTGGGCGCTGAGTAAAACCGCTAGAAAATTCAGAGTCCCAACGCTAATTCCCTTAAATGACCAAAATTCGACTTTTGGTCTCTCAAAGTTCTAACTCGGATCACTTTAATCGCACACTTGAATTAACCCTGACGACCTGATGATCGTATGGCCAGGCACAAAACTAGAATTTATTCCGAAATTGAGATTTTCCAAGCGACTTTGAAAAATGTGATCACAAAAATTTTCCACGATTTCACTGATTTCAGTTCTTTCACAGACTTCACTTTATGCACCGCACTTCACTTGAAAACAGTAAACCACTCACCTTTTAGTAATTCTCTTAAAGAATTAATACTGCTCAATACGAAAACAAAAATTCCAGACTTAAACATGTAAAACAATTACTTAGAAAATAATACCACTTATATATGAGAATTACGTAACCAAGGGGGAACACTTAACTACCGAAGGGATACTTAACCTGAAAGGGAACTTAATATACAGGGAACTTAATTTAGTACTAAAGGAAATCTCGATTTAACCTATAACCGTCCCGTCCCGGCCCACCCTGTCGCTTTTACAAGACCAACAGCACAAAATAATCCCGTCCTTCGCGGTCAACGGTTAGACTAGATAGCGGAACTACCGACGGATCTAACTGTCCGACACCACCGTAATTCCGTTGCTAGAGATTCTACTAGGCCATCCCTCAGTGAACTCTTGGTACCTTCATGGCTGTACCGTAAAAATCTAGCGATTGAGTCGCCTAACACGCCCTCGGGGATAATAATTAGCGTCCTAATACTTCCCCGCCCCGACAATTCGACACCTAGAATTGTTGCTGCGAAAACCACCACGCAGCACCCTTGTCCGTAGTTGCAGAGGGTCGAGAAAAATAATACCCTTTCCAACTACCCAAGGCGGCCTCCACACTTAACTGTCTGCTAGCGCATACACTTAAGTGACTGTAATTAAACTTACCAGCCCCTCACGACCCTAGAATCGCCTACTCTATGCGAATCGCACCACATAGGATTACCGTCGACTCTATCTCATGGGCCCCGGCTGCACCCTCACAACACAGCTTAACTGAACGGACAGGCGCGTGAGGCTTCAATAATCGTCAAGAAATTATTGAAATACCGCTGCTACCATTGTAATGACCGCTTTACCCGGTCGTAATAACCGCCGCCTCTATTGTAATAACCCAATATTCCCCAGTATTAATCCTGTTATCTTGTGATCTCTCATAATCGTACTATACGCTCTCTGTTGTAATACTCTGTCTCTCTTCACTCAATACCCCAGCTTAACACTGTTACAGTCCAGTATGACCCCTCACTGGACTGCCCCGTATATAAGAGGAATATTAAATGAGGAAGATACACCAAGGACAAGGGTTATTAGTTAAAAAAAAATAACAAAACACATTTGCACTGCCACCACCTTCCCGACCAACCATACCTGAATGTGTATCACCGATCCCACAGGAAGGCAAGGAATCAGTAACCATGGGACTCCGGGTAATATTAATTTCAGTAATAAATTTTGGAAAATTAGTTTGTTTAATTTACGTTACTTATTTGAATCCAAGGGCAACTTTAGTATCTGTTAACTTTAGGAGAACATGGGGGCTTCCAATACACACCTAAAACTGACAAAATAGCAAAATATATCAAAGGGGAGTTAAGTGAATACCACTGGACAAGCTATACAATTTATTTTATGAAACATGTAAATTAAGACAATTTGAAACACATAACCTATTCTATTCCCCTAGAGGCACAATGCATATTTATTGAGGGCACGAAACTCAAGTGCTACTATACCTTAAATAACCGCACCACGGCCAAGATGTTAATGGCTGCCCTCAGCCCCTAGGATACGGGCTTGCGGCCCATTTCCTAATACACTCCCAAGTCACACTGATGAAATTTTGTTTTACCAACTTATTGCTGGGAAGGATTACTCCTCCCACCATCTAATACAGCCCCAGGGCTCCACCCATTATTTTGGCAATGGGCAACCATTTAACACGTAGGCCTGAGGTCTGGCTCTCTAGGGCCAATAAGGACTTGGCCCTTATCTCAGGCCAATCACCTTCACTGATCTGCCGTGTAAAGCTACATGAATTCCTGAAGATTGAGTCAGCTCTCCCCAGCTATGAGAAGGAAAACAAGGCGCCACTATGGAGCCCCAGTGCACCTGCGAGCAATGTTTACAAAACTGATAAGTTCTGTTCAAGCTTGTCTCCACTAAGATAACGAGTAGGGACATTTGACTCTGCCTCGTATGGGGAAGGGACCGGTGAGAGGGGAAGAGAGGGGATGAGAGGGGGATGGAGAGGGAAAATCTGAGTGGGGAGTTGAGTGGGGGGGGAAGCCAAAGGTATCCAAGACCACCCTCAGGTCAACCTCTTGACCCTGGCAAATGGGCGACAGGGGGGGGAAGAGGAGGAGACGAATGATGGCCAAGGGGAGGGGAGAAGGAAGGAGGGGAGAGGGAGAAGGAAAGGAGGGGAGAAAGAGAAGGAAAGGAGGGGAGAAGGAGAAGGAAAGGAGGGGAAAAGGGAGAACTAATGATCTGAGCCCCAGGAGAACTAATGATCTGAGCCCCAGATTATTACACAGGCACCTGCACAGAACGAGGATCCGTCGGGGAATCCTCACACACAGACAAGCAGAGAAAGTCATTCTCCAGGAAAACTGAAGGGGGCCTTAGCACGAGGAGCATCGCAATCGGCCGCTACATGGCCCTTAGCACCACACCGGAAACACGTGCGGGTTTGACCTTGATAAAAGATCCTTAGTCGGAGCGCCCGCTAGTTGGGGCAGAGCCCCGACTAGCAGGCACTCCACACCTCCCACAGCAAACCACCACTCAGCAACGGCAAACGACAACTGACCTGTTCAGTTGAAGTGGATGAGTCCACCTAGTGGACTCTGGAGAGCGCGTTGGCGACGACGTTGTCGGAGCCCTGGATAAAGAAGATGTTGATATTCTGCATATACATGGCCCAGCGAAGCAAATGTAGATGCTGGTTGGTGAACTGTGTATGCTGCAGGAACTGAAGAGAATGGTGCTTGTGGAAGATGTTGAGGTAGCACTCCAGGACTCAGTGAAGTACAAGTTTGTTGTACAGACGAGCCTACTGAATGGATCAGCGAGAGTGGTGATCCGAGGAGATGGTGAGATGGTTTATCAGATGCAAGGTCCAGCGTAGCAAGTGCTGATTGGAGAACTGGGTTAGCAGTAGGAATCGAATGAGGTTGTGATACAAGATGTTCACATGGTGCTACAGGAGTCAGCGTAGTTTCGAGAACTGATCCTAATGTAGGGACCGACGAATGTGGAGGTCCTAGAGGATGTTGAGGTTGTGCTGCAGGACCCAGTGAAGTACTAGATTGTTGTTGAACTGGGGCGTCTGCATGGACTGAAGAATGTTAAAGTCCGGGGGGATGAAGTTGTAACCTAATAGATTTGATGGTTCGTTGCGCTGCACGCCTGGCAGGATGTTATGTGGCTCCTCAATGATGATTGTAGCTGGAGTGCATGATCCCATCTCCCTGTGGTATGATGGTGTTCCTATCGCCAGGGTGGAAGACTGAAGGTTCTCTAATACCTGGCAGGGCGAGAATGGAGTTAGTACAAAACAAGGATTTACGCCTTTCAAATGCAATAAAAGGTAAATTTGTCTAACAATATTTTAGCAGAGGGCTGGTAAAGTGGTCTGGAGGAGCACGTTTATTTGGATTAGGTTCGTATAGAGCAGGATCTTTCCTGGTGGTGGAACAGATCGAGAATTTAGAACCATTGCAGTCAGGCAAAGTACAACAAGAAGGACCAGACAATACCTTAGAGACATTGATTGTCTTACACATGTCGTCAGAGAAGATGTGATCACATTTGCTCTGACTTTCCTGGGCATGTCCGCACTGCTTCTTGAGGTGCTTCACAGTTCCTGGACGGAAACGGCTGTGGAAAACCTGGTGGTAGAACACGGGATATTACTTATATGTACGTTACCTGAGCTTGTCTGAGACAGAAGCTCATCATGGTTGTTGATGGAATAGCTGAACGGCTCAGAAGACTCTGATACCTGCATTAGTGGTGCCTTGAATAGAGGAGCGTTCGGCTTACCTGTCATCTGAGACTTTTTGCAATTTTTCACTAAGTTTTTCATATCACGAATCATTCCTGGCCAGTAGTAATCTTGTTTCAGGGTCTTGTAGGTCCTGTAGAAACTGCAGTGTGAGAGGGATCTATGGACCAGATGCAAGATATCTGACCGTTGGCTGGTAGGAACTACTAGTTGTTTGACATTAGCCCGATTGTTGTCCTCCTTCACTTTGCCGGGTATATAATAGCGGTAGAGCACTTTATTTACTACAAAGAACCCAGGGATAGAGTTAGGTTGTGTCTCAGCCTGTAAGAATAAAGATGTTAGCGAGAAATCCTCTCTCTGCAACTTACGGAACTCCAGCATGGTGAGACTCGGTGGGAGCCTCCGTGAATCTTGAGGTACAGCTGAAGCAGATAGAGCAGCTGGTTGCGGGAGTACGGATTGTGCACGTGTCGTCACCAGGACAGGATGGGAGACGTCATCAGAATCATCTGTTGCTTGTATCTCTTCTTTAACAAACTGCGAGATAGGATTTTCCATTGATGAGTCACATACCTGGGGTTTTTCTTTGATGATTAGATTTGTAGGTTATTGGTCTTCTGCCAAGTCGTTGCCCAGGAGGAGTTGAACTGACATGGGAAAAGGCTTTTCCCGGATGGCGATTTGGACTTCACCTTATATAAACGGACAATCCAGGCGGACTCTGGCAAGTGGATAAGGGGTAGTTGCAGTGCGATCCGTAATGAGGACAGTCTCTCGGGTGTAGGTGACGTTGGGTTCAGTTGACTTCAGAAGAATAGATTGTAAAGCAACTGTGTTCCTCAATATATTCACTTTCAACCTTCCCTCCGAATCTCCACCGCTGGCAGAGAGTTCCGGAGTACAGGTGTGTTACGACCCTAGACCTCTGGGTATGGTTCCTCTGTTGCTGTTGTTAAACATAGGTAATGATACGGCCTTGCCTCAATAAGTGTCTAGGGGTAAAAACAAACTGCTAACGTAACAAAGCAATATACTTAAAGTAAGGGTAACAGAGAACATACAAATAACATAAATGGAAAATGCAGGTAGCCAGAAATATTAATACACTAGTAATTAATATTACAATATCCTTATATAAGCACCGGTCATTTCTTTACAACATAAATGAATAGATGGGTTTGCACATAATGGTCTAACCAGGAAATTAGCTATGTTACTAAACAATAAACAAATACCACAGACTTAGCTCAACACATGTCTCCACCCGCCAGCTCTACCAACGGAACTAGCGTTCCTCCAGCATTCGCGGCATTGTGTCTACCAAAAAGACCAAACTAAAACCCAGATGAAACCTCATGATACTCAGCTAACAACGAGAAATTAAGCTAACAAATTAAGAACAAAGCTAACAAATTTAGAACATAATTATAAGTAAACTTATGTGTATATAACACTGCTAAGGTGTAAAAAGAAATTAAGTACAATCAATAAACAGGAATAATTCCCAAGGTGAAACATTGACGCTAGCTTGATACACGGCCCGCACACTGGAACATCCCAAATATGGTCATCCCCCCAATGAGACGCCACCGACTCCCCCCACAGGAATAAACATGCAAATAGCCTAACAAAATATTCAATACAGGCACACTACAGCATGCTACAATTACATCAAACATAATTATACTGGAACACAACTGGATATCATGTTATATTTACTTAACAGGGAAAAGAAATAATGGAAATACATATTTATCATGATGAATGTTAGAATGAAACACAGATTCGCAACAAGGTGTCTGTTGAAGAGAGAAAGATCAGTGGATGAAACAAAAATATTCATCACAGGCTTAGGACTTTTATGAATTTTAGGAGGAGGTGATTTGGGCTTTGTCTTACTGCTGACTTTACAGTGAGGACTGGTACACACTTCTATTGTATGTCTATAGGTTCTGCAATAATGACAATACAACGCGGAGTTTTCATTACTGGTACTCACTTTGGCAGGAATAAACCAAGACGTCTTACTAGAAGGTGTGTCGGATGGTACTCTATGAATGAGACTGTAGGAGTCAGCCAACTGTGCACATCTAGTAGGGTCGGTTTCTTCCTTGTCTGCTAGGTAGGACTTATGGAATTAGGTACACGCCTAAGGAATTCTTCCATCAGGATGAGGTTGATGAGATCTGTAAAGGTGGAGACTTGTGCTGCTTCCAGCCACTTCATGAAATATCTCTTTTTGTTATTTGCAAACTCTGGGTAAGTAGTAGCACTCGCTTTAAGGTAATTCCTAAACTTACGTCTGTAGTTCTCGATAAATAGGAGGTAGGCATCTAGCACTGCCTGTTTCAATACCTTGTAGTCGGTTTCAGACGCCATAGTACTGAGAGTCACGGCAGCCCCTACAAGTCAAATGACACCTGAGAAGTACAGACCACTGATCCTGAGGCCAGCTGAGTTGGTTAGCTAGAGCCTCAAATGAAGTAAATAATATATAATTTTCTGTCTCGACAAAAGATGGCATCAACTTAATTGCATGAGAAAGATCGAAACGTACCTGGAGGTTAGCTTCCGCTTCCTTGCGCTGAGTGTGGTGTGTAGTTTCCAAGTCAAGCTCTTTTCTACGGTTTTCTAGAGCAATGGCGGCTTGTTTTTCAGCATGTTCACGTTGGAGTTCACGTTCTCTTTCTCTTACTTTAAGGGCTTCCTGTTCACGCTCACGTTGGAGTTCAAGCTGTTCCCTCTCACGTTCACGTTGGAACTCTAGTTGTTCCTTCTCACGTTCACGTTGCAGTTCAGCATGTTTTTTTTTTGTAGAGCAAGTTGTTCCTTCTGTATCTTGAGAGTTTTCTTCTGACGTTCGCGTTCTAGAGTGGAAAGCTCTATCTTCAATTTCATGGCTACTAAGGCGCTCTTCATGAGATTCGGATGTAATATTATCATTGTCTAATAAGTGGTCAAGTATAAGGTTATGGAGATAAGTTTTAGTGGCTCCATGGGGGGCAGTAATGTGGTACTCATTTACAAGAGTTAGCATCTCCGCCTTGGTGGCACGAATTAGTGTGCCCCACTTCATCGTTTGGATTCTGCCTGAACGCTGTTAGACGAAACATGGTGAATAGAATGATAGAAAATAATGTGCAAAGAAAATACCTCAGTTGATGTACCAAAATATGAGATGTCAGACTGACAGGATGACATGGCAACTGTAAACTATCCTATTTAAACTTTATAGTCAAGTTTACAACAGTTAACTTTAGTAATTGAATTGATTACTTAGATCGAAAGTGAAACGAATACGTAGGGAATCTTGTACCCGGTAATCTATATGATGAGGACAAGGGCAAGAGGGATCCTACTGGAATTGTGAAACATAATTGTCTCGAATGTAGTCCAACAAATTTAGGGATTTCTTACCTGGTCTCTAATTGACGAGAACAAAGGTAAGAGGCTTCCTACTAAAACTAAATAGTACTTACAGAGTTATCACTCATTGTGCTCTGGAAAAAAATGCTAACTCCCTACCTGTGTAAATACCATATATTTGACCAACGCGTAGGGGTGCGGAAAGTATTAATTTATGACGAGAACTGCTGTATGGGTCCTAACCGTATAACGTAGTCCGTAATGCTAGAGGAACTATGGCCCCCTGTGTCCTCCTATGTTCGGGTTGTAAAGACGTGGGCGTATTAGCCCGGAGACAGACCAAAGTACCAGGGGTACCAAAGTGGGTGATCTGCCGTAATGAGAAGTTCTCCTGTAGGGAGAAGAATATGGTGGAAATCACAGGATATAGCAAAGATTATTAAACAACCAATTACGAGTATGACTCGTGCCATAAGACACCACGTAATCCAAAGTCATCCAACAGTCATATAATGCTACATCTGGAATGTAAACAGTATTAAGCACCATCAAAATCACTCAAAATAGTAGTTCTGAAAAGACACAGGCAAACTTATAATAAAGCCAAGTACACTTACACAACTTTATATGAAGCGTCTAGGAGCATACCTGAGTGAGGCTCCTAGGACAGGTCCCCAAATATATGTTACGGTAAAATGACTAAGTGCAGTGGATTTGGGCAGATGGAATGCCACGAACATATAAACAAACAAAAAGTAAAAACAAATTAACAAAAAACAGCTATGGTGACTTCTTCATTGTATGATAAATGTAGAATAAAATACAGGAAACTGGAAAAATTTTAATTCTTTAATTATGAAAAAAATCATCTTAACAAACTGACAAAATTAATCAAAATAAGCCATCGATCAAGAATCAAAACAAAAAACAATCAATCAGGCATGTTAACCTTACGTTAAAGTACATAAATTAAATAGTGCTGAAAATACTGAGTACTGGCTGCGTAAATCTACTAGCACACAGGATAGTGTGGGAGCAGGTCTAGCAATTTGAGCACTGAGGAGTATTCTGCTGGTAGTTTTTATTTTTTTTATTTTTATAAAAGAAATATACAAAGTATAGCACAAGACACAAGACAAGAACATAATAACAAAAACATAATAATAAGAAAAATAATCACAGGTACAGAAGAAAACAAAACATCACGAGAACCTAGAAACTCCTGGTACATGAGGCTGAATACAAAGTTAAACAAAAAAAAATGGACACACAACAAACACATGTACATAGAAAGACACAAAATAACGTTCACATAATAAACCAACACACACGCACTCACACAAGACGCACACAATCACATAAATAACACAAAGCAGTCACACTGCACACAAAACATATAAGTAACATAAAACAAATTACGGCCAAGGCCCAGGTACAACAACTTGACAACCCCAAGAAAGAACCAGGGGCGAACAGCAAAACACCGAGACACACGCACCACAAAAACACTCACACTAGGAAGAACATCAATTTAGCAACAAAACAGCTGCACCAACCCACACAGGGCACAAACAACGGCCCACGCAGGAGCCAGCAAAGAAGCATACCCACACCCCCACACACATCCACACAACAAACCGAACACACAACCACAGGAGCAACCACTCACACACCCAGCCCAACCCCCTCCAAGGAGGCCAACCGGAGGGCCGGGGACCGAAGACAAAAACGAAAAAGCCCCACCCCCCAACCCACAACCAAAAGCCCGACCCACGACCACTCACCCAAAAACAATCCCACGCAAACACCCACCCGTGAACCAACCACAAAACTTGCTCGGAAACGCGCGCTGCACCCACCACCACGTGAAACACAAACGGCCTCTCAAAAATCCTGAAAGCCTAACAACCCCATAACCCTCCCTCCGACCCACCCACACATAATACACATAGTCAGCAACGAGAAGACATAACGTATTGCGCACCCGGCACAACCACCGCAGAAAGGACAAAAACAAAAACCTCAAAAGGCCACCCCGACACCCCGGCCCACAAACCCCAACCAACACGTCCCGAAACCAATCAAGCAAGCCCCTCAAACGCTCACAAAAAGAAAAGACATGCAACTGAGTCTCAGGGAGGCCACAGTGCACACACGCGTCAGAGGCACGCAAACCCAGCATGCACAACCGCGCATTCGTCGCCAACGACAAATGCAAGAACCGAAACAACAATTCCCGCTGTTGCGGTGCCAGAAACCGAGCCCCCAACGCCACCCAAACCACCCCCTAATCCCAACACGGGAACAAACCCTCCACCCGCGGCAGAACACGACGAAATAAAACCCTATACACCGCCTTAAACGACAAGGACATGAAACCCACACAACGGCAGACCACCCGAAAAATGGCCACTGCCCAAGAGTAAACAGGAGGGGTGCAGAAGGCCGCCTCCTGACAAACACCAAAATTCACCAAAAAGCTAAACTGAACAGAGCAATAATAAATACCTAAAGCATTGAGCCCCCCACCCAACTCGAACCCCTGACACAACGAGACCCAGAACAGCGCCCGAGCCCTAGTAAACACATAAGGAATGCCCACCCCACCCTCCCGAACAGCCAACACCAACATCGACCGACGAACCGGGTGGTAACGACCGCACCACACATAATGATAAACCTGATGTTACAACCCGAAAGCCAGCTTGTGATCCAGGGGAAAGCACCAAGCCACGAACCAGACAGCAAATAGGAAGCGAACCAGGTAAACCCCAAAACCCACATGGAAGCGAGAACTGGAAACCATGACCCCACCCATACACGGCGAGAGGACCACCCACCAAGACCCAGAAGACCGGACTTCTCACAGTTAACCCGGACCCCAGTGGCTAACTCAAACCTCTCAACCACGACCTGGACAGCCCCAACCAACCCCTCCAAAGCCCCGAACAGGACGGTATCATCCGTATAGTCCCAGATGGGCAACCGAAGACCCGACCGCAGTCGGGGGGGGGGGGCGTGGGGACGATCAATGGACTCTCCTTGATCACCCGAAAAAAGGCTCCTTTAACCCTTACACTGCTCAGGGGTCCTGGGGACATTTACACCCCTGTTGTGGGAACCGACCTGTGAGATTTATATTTATTTAATTTATATGAATTTATATTTACGTTAATTTATATACTTCGATAGCAATTTGTATAATGTTAAGTGGACTGTATTTCTGCAATAATCTCAATCTCACAAATCGATCCTCTACACATTAGGGGGGGTTTATTAGTTTATATATATGCAGCCAATCAAACTACAGTAACTACATACATTGAAGAGGTTCCTTATCTTATAGTACAGCAGGCTAGTCCACCAGGTATAACTAGGGTGTAGACACCAAATTATCCTCTTTGAGGCAGCTTCCATCACCCAGTAACTGGTGCACAAAATCTTGCATCCTCGTCTTGACCTGTCAAAAGTGCGCTAGCTGTGAAGCCAGAATCCTATATATGACAAGCTATATCAGAGAAAACTGTACATGGAACATTAAAGACCTGGCTTAATTACCTTTAGTTTGAGGCTTCCACGTGATCTAACCGGGTCACCCTATATCCTGACATTAATGGCCATAAATGAATGATAAACGGGTTTCGGATAGACACTTAACTTGATATGTAGACAGCGTGTTGAAAAATGGTACACCTTTGGTTTCCATAACACTACGTCCAAGTAAATTTAACAGGAGCCGAATTTGCTCCCGTGTGAGCCTCTGGTCTCAATATAAACAATGGCTGTTTAACACTCCATACTATTGACGTTACTGGCCGACATTGTCCAGATATGATAGGAGCTAAATTTGCTCCACACGTCTCGGAGGTGACACAACAATGGCTCCCTCCTTCCTCCTTCTGACGCCTGGCTTACATTGTCCAGATTTCAGAAAGTGATAGAAGGGTCACATTTACTCTACTTTAATATTGATAATTAAGTTAATTTATATAAGATGTTTTTATGATGGTAAAGTCCAAAGACTAATGTATTTAAGAATAATTCCCAGCAGAATAGCTGGTGAATTATAATGGTATGTGGTGATGATATCCCGTTTTCTTTAGATGGTAATTCCACTACAAGTTACGTTTTCTATGGGTAACTTGTTGGTAATACAGCTATTATCTGTATGATTATTAAATGGTGTCGGATTTTCCGACATAATTCCCCAGGGGGCTGCTCACGGGTCGAAGTCCTATTTAGAACAGACGAACACCGATACTCCTCCTTCGAATTATTAGATTAATTTGATGTTAGTAGTTAGTAATCACACATTTGTGCGTCTGTTCGTACAGGACGGATGTCCCGTACTAGAGTTGTAGGGGTTAGAAGTCTAATGCGATCTCATTTCCCTGTTAACTCTTGAAAGGCTAATATTCAAGCCTTATTACATATTATTTAACCCAGAAGACTGAATGTGATCAAGTACTACAGTCAAGTATGATTCAGGGACTGCAGTGAGATCAGTGACATTAGATATAACTTGAAGTTTCTTCAGGTAACTGGTCACTGATATATAAACACTGAGGCCCATGGAATACATCTTGATTAAATAATAAATGTATCAAATCAGTCATCAGATTTATTGGGGTTTAATTTAGTTAATTGATTCAGAAGATTGAATAGCTCATCATTAAAGTAAAGTATGGTTCTGAGACTGCAGTGGGTTCA